AAAAAACGTTTCAAATTTCAGACAACTGAGCAAAAGCTTGTAATATCTGCTGCCAATCAGTAAAGTAACGAATCTACACATTCTCACTGAACGAAACCATATGCAAGACGAAAAGATTGATGAGTTTATTAGTAAGGCAATTGTAAATTTTACAGACAAAAACAAAAATACATCGACAAACTTTCAATGGAATGTTCAAATAAGACGAAATGCCTTAATCGGGCTGATTAATAATTACATACTCTCTAAGAGTAGCACAAATAATATTGTTTTAAAAGTAGTAAAGACAAATCAATTGGCAACTGTCAATAGCTCAGTTACTTCTCAGTTTTTTCGTACCCAATAAAGAAAGAATCTCTAAATTTAATTTCAAACTTCTTCACCTAAACATACAGTCTTTGCGTCACAAATCAGATGATTTAGCAGTGTTAGGATCTGACAATCAGTATGATGTGCTGTGCTTGAATGAACATTGGTTGTCTGAGGGTGAATTCATTGTTAATCAATTAATAGATTATACACCAGTATCAAGCTTTTGTAGAAAAAATAAAACACATGGTGGTGTAGCAATCTTTATAAAAACCAACGTTGATGCGGCGCCTTTGCCAGATTCAGTTTTTGTAGAAAAGGAAGAACAGACTTTTGAGATAGCAGGCTCTTATATTAACAATATTCAAATTATTTCGTTATACAGAAGCCCTAACAGCGATTTCGATACATTCTTTAATAAGTTATGTACTACACTTGATTGCTTAAATTACGAGAGGGATATAGTCATAGCAGGCGATTTTAATGTGAAATTCACCACCAATGACACTCGAGCACACCAAGTCGAAAGTCTATTTCGCTGCTATGGATTGAATAAAAACGTCAGCACCAGTACTAGGAGGCATAACTGTCTGGACAATATATTCACAAACATAGACAGGCCCTCCGGTGTCACAGTTTTTGAGAGCTATCTGTCTGATCACCTAGCAATTGAATTTACATGTGAGCAAAGTAAGAACTTACGAACGTTCAACAGAGTTACTTTTAGGCCAATTACGGATGAGGGTCTTTTCAATCTGTACATGGAAATTGAGAAGGTTGACTGGTCATTCATCGGGGGAAATGATAACATCGAGCAAGCCTTTGAAACATTCATTCATCTAATCAGCAGTAAAGTTGAAAAATGCCTTCCATATAAATCACGTATCTTTGGTAGTGATAATAAAGGGGGAAGAAAAATAAATTGGTTTGACAGTCATTTGCGTGCTATGAGAGACCGTTTGAGGCTCCTGATGGATTGGTACAAGGTTAACCCACAAATAGTTACCAAACAAGCTGTTAACGAGTATAGATCACAATATCGACAGGCTATCACTAATAGCAAAAAACAAGCACACGACTTGTATATAAACAATTCGAGCAACAAGCAGCTAGCAATGTGGAATATTATTAGATCCAATGTTCCAGCTAATAATCAGAACAAAAGCAACATCTTGAATGCTAACGAATTCAATTCATTCTTCTCAAGTATAGCCCAGACGCTCATTGACAATATTCCTCCAGCAAATCGTGATGCACTAGACTACTTGGTTCATACTGATAACATCGACCTTTTCTTGTTCAAAGAAGTATCCTACAATCAAGTCAGATCAGCGATTTCATCACTAAAAAATTCTAAGAGTACAGATGTACATAAATTGAATTCAAAAATTATAAAGACCGTAATGAATCTGATTATCGTTCCACTCGCTAAACTTTTTAATATTTGTATTCGAAATAGTACTTTTCCTAAAATTCTCAAGATATCCAAAGTCATTCCAATACTTAAAAATGGATCGGGTGATGTGCTTTCCAACCATCTACCAATTTCTCTAATCTCATACTTTGCTAAGATTTTTGAAATTCTGCTAAAAGATCAACTAACCTCTCATCTAGAGTCAAGTCAATTTTTTAATGACAAGCAGTTTGGATTTAGACGGAACAGATCTTCTACTACAGCTATCAATTGTCTTATAGATCTTGTTAACGAAGGATTTGAGAACCATCTACATACCAAGGCGGACCTTTTCGATTTATCTAAGGCTTTTGATTGTCTGGTGCATAGTATTTTAATAAAAAAATTACCTTATTATCACATTCATCCTTCTAGCATCAAAATTTTAGACTCTTACTTATCCGACAGAAAACAACTAGTACATTTCAATGGCTGTAACTCTGATACCAGATCAGTGATCCATGGAGTTCCTCAGGGTTCCGTACTGGGACCACTGCTGTTTTTATTATACATTAATGATATCCCCAATAGCCTGTCAGATACGCACAATGCTGCTTTGTTCTTATATGCTGATGACACTACTTTGGTAAATTCTAATAAATATGTAAACACCCTTGTCGAAACTAGTTCATTGTGTAAGTCGAACCTTGAGGATTGGTTTGCTGCCAATATGCTATTGCTCAACACTGATAAAACTCAGTCTATAATACTAAGCTTACGCAGTCATGAGTTGGAATCTGCTCAAACAGTGAAATTGCTAGGCGTTCATATTGACTGTACTCTGACATGGGAGGTGCATACTCGCTGTGTGGTGGATCGTTTGTCCAGAGTTATATATCTCATACGTAGTCTAAAGGATAGAGTATCTGATAAAGTTTTATTAACTGCTTATCATGCATATTTCCACTCTAAAATGACATATGCAATTTTGGTCTGGGGACACTCTCCACATATGCAAAAAGTGTTTGGCATGCAAAGGCGTTGTATACGATACATCTCTGGTTTGAAATATAGAGACCCCTGCAAGGCTGAATTCATTAAATTGGCCATACTAACCCTTCCATGCGCGTATATTTTGAGTTGTCTCATATATATCAAAAGTAACATTAGTACCTTCCCCACTCATAGTGATAACCACAAATATGAAACACGAAATAGAAACAACATTTGCCATAATAACTACCGTCTAGAAAAATCAAGAGTTGGAACAAACTTTTATGGCATTAAATTTTTTAATGTGCTACCCAACAATATAAAAACATTGGATATTGGTGTTTTTCATAGGAAACTCAAGTATTATTTAATAAAAAACGCATTCTTTAGCACGGACGAATATTTGGCAAATGACTTTACTGATATACCTTAAATGTTTATTTATTCATTTCTGTCTCCAACTTATGTACAGTTGTTATTGTTTTGTTTGTCTGTATGTGTATAGTTAATTGTATTATACATATATTTTTCTTAGCGATCTTCTTTTATCTCATGACATTTTTGTATTGTTTTTTTTTCTCAATTTGCTTTTGGTAATTATGCGTTACGCAGCATTGCATTGTTTTTAACTTGTTTTATTCATGTTTGATGTAGATTTTTCTAAGCGTTCGATGAGTATATATTGACTTGTGTAAACACTTTCTGTGTATTAACATCAATAAATTATTATTATTATTATTATTATATTTTGGAAATCATGGATGCCATAAAGGCGTCCTACAATTGTAGAAACGACTAGTGATACGGCCCTAAGAACATGCTGCAAGTTGTTCAGAATAGTTGCGTAAGGTTTATCTTTGGGCTGATACGATTTAGTCGTATCTCAAATAAGTTCACTTCTTTGTGCTGGTTGAAAATGCCCTATTTAGTGCAGTTCAATTACCTTATTTTCATCCACAAATTAATGCGTACATCTGAACCTCTATATATTGGAGAAAACTCAACGAGGTAGTGCACATAATAGAACCATCAGGCGTAGAAACATAATCACTATTCCCAGCATAATTCACCTTTATTCCAGTGTAGTTTTACATAAAATGCTGCTAGTATCTACATATAACAACACTCTAAAGTGATATCCTTAAACCCATTTATGAAATGTATCAAAGGCTTATTATGAATGAGTAATACTGGAATACACTATCTATATTCATTGCTTAACATTGATGTCCACCATTTGTCATTTGCATTCTGTTTTCCTACTTTTTCTTTTTTAGGGCTATAACAATGAGTAATTTGTACCTTGTGTTTACGCCTAAAAACTTTCCTCCATGTGTTTAGTAATACTTATTTCCGCATCAAGCGCTTGCGCGACGAGACACAGATGCCGATATCATGCTATTGCAAATAATCAGTCAGACTTCACTTGTACAGCCCTCAAGAATAAACACGCATTCCTTTGAACGGGTGTTTAATTCATGAGCCACCGTTCATCAGCAGCAATACTACAAAACATTTTGGTCCTTCGAGCCGGATATATTACTTTAAACATTAACCATTAACGAGAAGTAAATCTTGGTTAACAAAAATATGTTACCTCATTAAAAAATAATAAATTCCATTCATTGATGTAAACGCAAAATAAACATAGGTAGGTATAGTAAATATTAATTGTAACTTGGAATATAATAAACTTATGGCGCAACTGCTCGATATCCCGTAGATACTAGCAACTCTAGCTCAACATGCCGTCAACACCGGGTTCTTATTTCTATGAATCGACGTCCCTTCAACATTAGCCCACTAGCTCGACATCTTGTGGACACTAGTCTCATTCTTACCCGTCTGACTTCCGCCTCTTATGCTAAACGTATCGAACTTGAATAGCCAGAACAGGCCTATACGACTGCTCCTTTGCCCCTAAAATGTCGATATTGTGAAACAACCTGCCTAAGGAGGGTTTTCCCAGTTCTACTAATCTTAGGCAGTTCAAAACTCGGATTAACAATGTGTCTTTAAGCAGATGCAGTGCCTGGTATTTAGGCTTCTGCCTACGCGGCAGCTTCGGTATAAAAAATCTGACATTTAAGTTCTATATACTCATATAAGCAAGTTATATGATGAATGATATGCTTATAGAAATCTTTTTCGTTATTTTTGGATATACATTCTGCTCTAGAAATATTGGCATTGACTTTTGAATCACCCTGTGTAAAGGATTTTTTGGAGCAATACCTTGACAGGGATTTGAGTAACCCTTGCTCTCTGAATCTGAACTGTGTGATGTAGGTTTCATATTTTTCAGATGTCTAGAAGAGGCTGCAGAGGTGGCATTCCAGCAAAGAGATCTACAAAGTCTGTTGTATATGCAGAATAAATGTGGGAATCAATCCACGTCATTACCTGAGAAAATCAACAATATGATTACACAGTTAGACACTAGAAGATAGATGTGATAGTTTTGTAATACCGTTCTTTACTTATACCGCATACCTATATCTGTCTTACTGTTCCTCAGTAATGTATAGATACAATATATATAATAATAATAATAATGTTTATTGTCACAAAATACAGGTAAATATCAAATATTGTGCACAATAAACATAAAGCACCCAAAAAAAGTGTGCACTTGTGTTTGGGTTTGTACAAAATAAAAACTAATAGTACAGTCAGTGTATGAAAAAAAAACCCGTTAATACTGTATAATTTGGTGAATTATTATGGTAATGTCAGAAAAAATATCCAGACAATTAGAACTAAAGTAAAAGTATGGATGTTAGTGTAAGTAAAATATTATTGATTTTGATAATGATTTTTCAGATCTACAATTTCGTGGATAGAGTACCTTGGTTGTTGTAAAATCCATTTTTTTAGTTATTTTTTAAATGATTTAATTGATTTAATTACTTTTAATGACTCTGGTATGAAGTTATAGAATTTTGGTCCCAAGAAAAAAAGAGATAGTTGTGTAATGGTTTTTGATGTTTGTGGAATACACATTGAATTTTGATTGAATCTTGTTGGGTAGTTATGAATGGTACGATTAAAGTATTTTGAACATTTGAAATAATGTATTAGACCACAATAAAAATAAATTTGCCTGCAATCTAATAGCTGAGCCTCCACATATAGAAAATCACTTGAATAAGTAATCTCCCTATGGAGGATCAATTTTAGAATTAATTTTTGGATTACATCAACCTTTTTGTAATCATTATTCATAACTCCCCCGCAAGCCAAAATTCCGTAAAGTAATAGAGGATAAACAAGAGCATAATATAGATTATATAGATATTTCTTATCTAGAATATCTCTGAAGTACCTGAATTTTGGAATAATACATCTCAGTATCTTCACAAGGTACTCTGTATGGGTATCCCATTTTAAGTGTTTGTCCAAAATCACGCCTAAGTTTTTATTTTATCGGCTGACTGAATCTCTTTGAGACCACTGCTTGTATGAACTTCAAGTTTTTTAAATTGTGGTGAGAGCCTGTCGTTACAAGAAAATGCTATATAGTGTGTTTTGTTGTAATTAATTGTCAAAGTTCTTCCCGAAAAGAAATTTATAAATGTTTTGAAATCATGTTCGATTGTGGTTTTTAGTGTATGCCACTGGTTGCTTTCATAGAGAATAGCTGTATCATCCGCAAAACCGATAACTTTACCTGTACTACTTATTTTGAACAAATCGTTGATAAACAGATTAAATAAAATGGGTCCTAATACTGAGCCTTGAGGTACACCGTATGATATAATATGGGGTTCACTGAATGTGTTATTAATTTTGACGCACTGTGTTCGATTTGACAAATAATTTTCTATAAGTTTGTATGTTATTCCCCGGAAACCTAAGTTTTCTAAAGTTGTTAAAAGCGATTCATGAGTAATAGAGTCGAATGCCTTTGCCAAGTCAACAAAAACACATGCAGTTGGTTTGCCAATATCGAGATTCGTGTATATTTTACTTGTTAATTTTACAATAGCATCTTGAGCAGATTTGCCTTCTTGAAAACCATATTGCTGTTCCGCTATTAAGTTATAATTTTTTGGAAAATCGGTGAATCGTTTTTTAACACTTTTTCAAATATTTTACAAAAATTTGTTAAGATGGAAATTGGTCGATAGTTGATGGGTTTTTCTCTTTCTTCAGATTTAAATAATGGTTTTACCATAGCGTGTTTTAAGCATGAAGGGAATATTCCTTTATTCATACAAGAATTTATCAAATATGACAGTATGCCACAGATGTTGGAATTTATTCTCTTGAGAGTATATGCTGTTATATTATCTAGACCTGGAGATTTTCTTAATTTCAATTCATTGATTATTGTCTTTATTTCATGCGTATCGGTCGGTTCCAGATATAATGAGTTATATAATCTGGTCTTACTATAATTTAATTTATCCGCGTTTTTTATGTTTTCTGACAACCTTTTCCCGATTTTTGAAAAATATTCACAAAATTCATTTGCTATATCTACATCATTACTCACTAGTTCACCATTTTCTTTTTTAATTGTACTATTTTGTTGTTTTGTTTTTTGCCTTGTATTTTATTGATAAATTGCCACATTTTGGACGAACAATTTTGTAGATTATCAAACTCTTCTTGGAGATATTTAATTTTAGCCTCTCTAATTATTTTTGTAAAGTCTGTTTCGATCTGATTTAAATTCATTCAAAAGTTTAACATCATAAGGATATTTTTTGGTTTCCTTATATAATTCTATTTTTTTGTTGATGGAGGTAATAATCCCCTTTGATATCCAAGCTTGTCTTTTTATTTGTGTCCGTGGAATCTTTACTGTTTTGGTGCATTCAGCAATATGGCCTTCAATGCTAGATATAAAAAGGACAAATGCATTTTCAATATTAGGTTCGTTATATACTACCATCCAATTTTCATTGAGTAAGTTGTTATTTAGTTTTTCATAATCAATGTAAATTTTTGTATTATTCACTGTCTTTTCAACTTTGTTTGATGTACTTTCAAGATCGATTTTGAGCAAAGTAGGAAAATGATCAGAAATTTTGTATTTTAGAATTGCTGAATATATTTTGTCAAGTTCTAAACGTGAATTTATAAACATATGATCTATACAACTCCCACTGTTTCCCTCTACTCTTGTCATTTCGTTAATGGCTGACAGGTAACCATGTTCAGCCATTATATTTAAATAATCTTGAATATTTTGATTGTTATGATCTAATATTTTTTTTTTATACTCCAACTACCACGAAGGCCTAAGGCCTAAGCACCCATTGGGTACCGTGGGGCTATAGGGGGATACATGGGAAAAGGGGGGACGCCACACGGACTCTGGCGAGGGAACACGTGTGCATGCAACATGCACACATTCTGGCTCCGCCTACGAGAACCGCCGGGTGGTACCTCCGCGTTCGACAGTCAGAGACCATCTACCACCTACGGACAATCACAACATCCATAGCCAAGAGAAAGATTTCTCCTGGGACGGGACTCGAACCCGCACAGCGCACGGCGACTGATCAGGAGACCGAAGAGTCTACTACTGCGGCCACCGCTGCTGCCTAAAACAAACACACAGCATCCATGGCGAAGGCGAGATTCGAACTCGCGGCCCGGCCGGCCGGCTGATCAGTAGCACGACACTCTGACCCACGCGGCCAACCGAGGTCCCCTGATAATATGTTAATGTTAAGGTCTCCAATGAATAAGTTGATGTCAAATTTTCTACTGCTCTCTAGATAATCATGTAATTGACCGTTAAATGTTGTTACAGATATACAAGGTGATTTGTACACACCAATGATCTGTATCCATTTATTATTCTTTTGAAGAATAACTCGTACAAGTTTTGTTTGAGTTATATTAATAATTTCATACCCACTGTTCAAATTTTGTCTTACGTAAATCAGAACCCCGTCATTTTTATTAAAACTACCATCGTTATAATATAAATCATAATTGGGAATTTCGATCAAACTTGTATCATATACTTTAAATGTTTCAGTTAGCACTATAACATCAAATTTAAAATCTAATATGTCCAACAAGGCATGGAGTTCATTCATATTTCTATGAATGCTCCTTATTTTCGTGTGAAAGATGTTCAATCCTGAATCAATATTATTAGAAAAACGTAACTTTGTTGTAGGTAAATCGTCTAAAATATTTGTTTTAATTATTTCAGGTCCAAATTCTGTAATGTATCTACTCATAAATATTATAAGTCCTTAGCAATTTAGAATAAAATTCTTGATATATGTCTTTGTTGGAAACATTTAAATACAGCACAACATTTATCTGTAGGGGAGTGATGTGTATTATAGTTTCTATTATATTTTTTGTTTGAATAGACACAGTTGCAACAAATGGGATTAGTAGATTTGTTGCATGAAGTATCATCATGTTCTTTTCCAAATTTGAAGCATACTTTATGACTATTACATTTCTTACCAGAGTGATTAAACTTTTTGTACAAACAACAATTTGTACATTGAGTTACCTCATTATTAGGATATACTGATAAATTTTGAAAACCAATTAAAATTTTCCCTCCATTATTATCAAATATTTGTCTGAATAGTTTACCTGACACCTCTGCGAAAACTATATTCATCTTTTTTTGGGGAAGGAATCTAACATAGGTGATTTTTAAATTTTCTTTTGTTATAAAGTGGTTTTGTCGCATAATATCTTCTTCTATATCGCGTTCTTGAAGTTTTTCTTCAGAGTGGTAGCCAACAATCTTTATTTTAGGATTAAACATTTTCGGTTCGGATATTGTATATGTTGATGGCAGATTCTTCCCAATTTCTTCTTTTAGCTTCTTATGGTAGCGGTCTTCTACATATAATTCAATACCACCATTTTTAGGGTTCTTAACAGTTTCAATTTTGATGTTTATTTTTGATAAATTCAAATTTCTGCTCAGCTCGTTCTTAGTTCTGTAGTTAGACTGTTGTTGTTCAGGGGTAATGATAAGACTTTTAAGTGTCCTTTCTTTACTCTGATGGTAAATTTATAACTGCTTGGGCATATGTGGAATTTTTTGTTGTTGTTTCCTCTAACTTCTCAATTCTCCGAAGGAGTGTCTCAAGTGGTGTTACTATACAGTCCCTATCGACTATGTTTGAAGAAATAAGATCATACTGTTCTTGAAATCTTCGGTTTTCGTTTGATAGGTGGTATATTAATGTTTCTTTTTCCAAAAGTAATGCTTGACAATTTTCTAAATTTTTCGTTTTTTCTAATAACTCCTGTTGTAATAATTTATTCTGTTTTTTCAAGTACTCACATGTTTCTTGCGTTGACATAATAGAATCACAGCTAATATTTACAGTCTCTTCATCCTTTTTCTTTCTCCGAGTCATTGCACACTCAGTATTTAGAATTTTGTATCAGTGATGTGGCTTGGCAAAATTGTGTCAAAGTTGTATATGAATACAAATGGCCGAAAGTGGTTTACCTCTTGAAAATTGTCTGATCCCCAATTCTGGATATCCAAATGTAGTCTAGGAACAAATTCAAGAGCAGCGACAAATTATTTGATTCGTAGTTTCGGCAATATGGTGATGGAACTGTGGAAAAGGTAGATAATAAGTGTATGTAGATATCTAGTTGCGACAGATAAATTATGCTAAGTGTACCCTTTTGACTTACAAATGGTTAGTCAAAGATGTGAATTTGAGAAGTTTTTTTTAAAAAATTGTTCAATCAATAATGTTTGTCCCACTAAAACATAATTATGTTCTCCACCGTTTTCAAAAAAGAATCCGCGTAAATCCAGATTTTTGATCACCTTGCCATGTGTTCCCAATTACATTTTAAAACATCAAATACTAGCACCAATCTCATTGGCGGACTCCTAATAATGGCAGCATAGCGTGTCGAAAGTTTGTATAATGATTCGGTTACATATTTTTCTTCAATCCATTTTCAGTAATTTTACATTATTGTCTATTAAAATTAAAAATACGTCACTATGTATTTTGATTATTCATAAAGTGATTTTTTAATTTCATATTAAACATTTTTAAATTCGAACTCTTTAATATCATTATTCACTTTCTTAAATTCAAATACTCCCTTTTGAAATATAGTTTTACTAGTTATGCTACTATTACAATTTTGCAGATGAAAATCTATACTGCCTCTAGTTTCGTAGTTATGATAATGACTATTTAATTTTGTGAAGTTCTCTAAATGTGGTGGTAATAAATGATTTTTTAATTTGAATATGAAAACGAGAACTAAATAATATATGAAATTTTTCTCATCCAACCACGGCAGTTCTTCTAACATAGACTTAATCCTAGCATATTTGTCTTTATTTAAAATGATTCTCATACTTTTATTTTGTAGAATTTGTAATTTTGAAAATATGTTTTCATTTGCTGTAAACAAGATGATTGAACAATATAAAAAATGGGGAAGAATTATAATGTTATACACAATTGTTTTGGAATACATACTAAGATTATGGGAAACTCTATAGAAGTAATTTATCTTTTTAGATATTTTTGAAATAATGTTTTCATAATGTTCGTGAAATAGTAGCTTGGTATCCACATATATACCAAGATGTTTAAATGACTCGACTGCCTCAATTTTTTCATCATTAATCATGACCCTAATTGTATTGTCACCTAAACGTTTCCCTATTGACATACATTTTGTTTTATTAGTGTTTAATTTAAGTTTATTGACATTTAACTAATTCATAATTTTTTCAATATCACTATTTAACAGTTCGAAAGCAGTATCCATATGCTTATGTGCTATATATATATATATAAGTGTATCTTCCGCAAATATTTGAATTTTGCAGTGTTCTATAATGTAAGAGATATCATTTATATAAATAATAAATAGTAACGGCACTAATTTACTCCCCTGTGGCACCCCTACTGATATATTTTGAACACTTGACATAATATTTCCAACTTTAGTTTTTTGACTTCTATTTACTAAATAATTTTGTAAAATGTGCAATACTGATCCTTTAAAGCCATAGTGACGCAATTTTATTAACAATTTTTTTCTATCTATAGTCTCAAATGCCCTTTTGAACTCAAGTATTGTTACAATGTATTCTTTCTCATCTATACTTCTCCTCCAGTCTTCTACCACCATTTGAACTCGAGCAGAAAATAGGATAGGTAACCCGAGCAATACGTATTTCTGCTTGTTGGCTTCATCAGGCCCGAAATAAATGCACATATGCAACCACAAAATAGATACACATGCCCGTACATCGGATACGGGTGTAATCTGAGGAACCGAAGATGGAAAGGAAACAAAATGACACACGAAGTCCCCAACAAGAGCCAACCTACACATTGTAGTATAAAATGGCTAGAATACCTCAAATTTTCATGACGACATCTAACCACAACTACGCGGCCCGTTATAGCCACTTGCTGTGGTACTTCAAGCCCAAGGATATACACAGAGAAAATGATCATGCGGAGAAAGGTATATAACAAAAAATAACAAAATAATGGGCAAAATCCGCAAAAAGAAGGAAAGTGGATTCGAGCAGAAAATAAGATAGGTAACCCGCATGATCATTTTCTCTTTGTAGATCCTTTGGGCTTGAAGTATCATAGCAAGTGGCTATAACCGGCCGCTTGGTCGTGGTTAGATGTCGCCTTAAAAATTCGAGGTCTTCTAGCCATTTTATACTACAATGTGTAGATTGGCTCTTGTTGGGGACTTAGTGTGTCATTTTTTTCCTCTCCATCTCCGTTTCCCCAGGTTACACCCGTAACGGATGTATGAGCATGTGTATCTACTTTTGTGGTTGCATATGTCCATTCATTTCGGACCGGATGATGCCAACAAGCAGAAATAGTGTTGCTCGGGTTACCTGTCCTATTTTCTGCTCGAATCCATTTTTCTTCTTTTTGCGGATTTTGCCCATTATTTTCCTATTTTTAGTTATATATCTTTCTCCGCATGATCATTTTCTCTTTGTAGGTCCTTTGGGTTTGAAGTGCCACAGCAAGTGGCTATAACCGGCCGCGTGGCTGTGGTTAGATGTCGCCTTGAAAATTCGAGGTCTTCTAGACATTTTATACTACAATGTGTAGGTTGGCTCTGGAATTTTGTGTGTCATTTTTTTTTCTCCATCTTGGTTTGCTCAGATTACACCCGTATCCGTATGTATGAGCATGTGTATCTACTTTTGTGGTTGCATATGTGCATTGATTTCGGGCCTGATGAAGCCAACAAACAGAAATACGGGTTACCTATTCTATTTTCTGCTCGAATCCACTTCCTTCTTTTTGCGGATTTTGCCCATTATTTTCCTGTTTCTTGTTATATACTCGTATATATATATACATATATATACATAGTTAAGTATAAGAGACTTGTCTTTGGGATATCGACAAATTATGCTAAGTGTACCCTTTTGACTTACAATACTCAAGCCTTCGGCAGTCTATGCTGCCATTATCAGGTGCTAGAAACTTATTGAAATAATAAATTAGCAACCATGCTCTAATTGATTAGAAATCTCTTTACTTACTCCGTCAGTGAGCCTCGTGCTAGTATTTGATGTATAGTTTAAAAGAGAGCCCATGTAAGGTGATAAAAAACTGGATTCACGTTGAAAAAACGATGCACAACATGGCTATGTTCTGCCAATACAAAGCAGATGGATTAGAACAA